AAACTAAAAGTACGCGAAAAGTGTCCACGTCAGTTTTCCAATGTCAAGGTTAAAGTTCCTTGACGAGATTGGCTAATTTGTGAAATCACGCGCGCCGCGCGCGAATACAAAAAGATTACGAAGGGGAGAGAGGGAGAGAAAAATTGTTACTTGAAATTTAGAAAAACGAAAGAGATTTTCTACATATAGTTTGTAATTAATAAATTTAGAAATTCCACTCCTTGTGACGTGGTTTGCATTTTAACTAAAGCTTCTATTCTTACGGATCGATTTTCGAGGTAAATCTTGTTACGGGCACATCGCAATTCACTTTGTTGCGGTGGAAATCCGGATTTCATTTTTGGAGTGCGTTATCGAAGATCCGGGTATAGGAAAATGAGTTCCTGCTGAGAAAACCATTCTGATACCTTTACTGCATTGTATATCCAAGGTATTTAGCATAATTTTTAATTAAATAAATGTCATTCGACCTGAGGTCAAATGCGCTGGTCAAATGAACTTTATTTCAGTAAGAATTGTGATCAGATCACTCCATGGGAAAAAAAAACCTTCTAAAATTTGCCTCTCTCCAAACGTGTGGTTCATAACTCAATTAGTCGTAGTGTTCAACTTGTGTCCGAGAGGCATGGGTTGGACTCTTATTGAGCCTGATGTTTTTTCGGGCTTCTTTTTTGCTTGGATTGCAGCTCGCCTGCGAGGATTATCTCTTTAGTTCAAGGTATATATGGCACAGAAAAACAGATCAACGAAGATTGATGAGGAATACCTGTGCTTTTTTTAATTTTGAAGTAGCTTGTTTGGAAGCATGACGGTTATCACATTAAATGTAATGAGATTTTGTTCTAGTACCTTCAATTCGAACTGGAGTCGGCTCATGCAGAGAAAAAATAACTTAGCCTTATCTCTATGAGCAAGGTATGGATTTCCGCCCTTCACAACCTTGAAAGTAAAGCTTTTGAAGATAAATTAAAAAAAGATGCTAATTCTCAAATATCTTGAATTTGAACTGAAGTCCGCTCCTGCAGAGAAATGTTATTAAGCCTTATTTCTATGAGTAAGGTAGAGCACGGATTTCCGCCCTTCTCAACCCTGAATGAATTTAAAAAAACGTTAATTCTTAAATATCTTCAATTCTTTAATTTGAACTGAAGTCCTGTCCTGCAGACCAATGGTATGTAGCCTAATTACTAATAAAGTAATGTAAAGCACGGATTTCCGTTCTTCACACCCTTGAAATTAAAGCTTTTAAAGATTAATTGAAAAAAGCGATAATTCAAAGATATTTCGAAAATATAAATCTAGATCAGTATGTCACAATTGCTTTGATTTCAAACCGTTGGAAAGTGTCTCGAGTTGGTTGTACCGCCGGAGGACGAATAAGTTAAAGAAACGTCGGTAAGAACTGTTGGTAAGTATATCATGAAAAAAGAAACGTACTAACTACTCGTGCATGCATTTCACGTGGTCTTGATGATTCGAAAAGTTTGTGCAATAGAACACATAATGCGAACATATAAACAATCTGAACATCGCTAGTTCCCTGAAATCACGATAAATCTTCGCTCTGTACTGGTGAATCTCTTAATGCGTGGGAATAGCGTGGTTGCGGGAAAATATTTGCTTTAAATAGCCTCTCGATATGAGGTTTGAGTGGCCTTTCTTCGCTTGTCATAACTCTGAAGAGGTCTGTACAGTACACAAACAAAGCTATGGCGATGGAAACAAAAACTCTTGGTTTTAATAATGACTGTCACAATTTGTTACAAACATCAAGTATTTGTTTTAGTCATAACTATAATTTTCATTATAATTGATGTTTCTAAAGTTCTTCCGATGTTACACTCGCTTTTCACAACATACAGAAATGGCAGGGTCTCAATGGGGTGATTTCTTTTACGGCTAACGGTCAAACGGTTGATGCATTTCTGTTGCGATCAAAAGAAAATTTTTACAGTTACTTTTTTTTACGACTAAAGGTTAAAATTTGTACCTTTTTTTCGCCTGACCACTAAATTCTTTTGCCGGTTTACGGCTAACGGTTTACCCCATTGTTACTCTCAAACGAGAGTCGGCGAGCAAGGTGGGCGTGCAAGAGCTCTTCGAGAAGTCTGGTTCTTATTTTCGAGCCACAATACTCGCGGACTCCTGCTTACACCGCCAGCGAGCTCGAAACAAGTGGACCTCGCTGCTAGTGTCGCCGACCAATTGAGAGCCTGTTCGCAGGCTCAGCTGAAGCCATCAGCTGAACCAGACGAAGGTTGCTCTAGCCTGTTCCAGGTTCTCCGTCAAAAAAGACGCGCGAAAGAGTGGGAGCGCGAAAGATTTGGTTTTCATTCTTGACAACCGCAGCTGCCGCGTCCATCTGCCAGCCATTTTTCGTGCGCCCACTCTATTGCTTGTTTTCTTTGACTGAAAGCCTGACACAATCTCTGATTTTTCAGGTGTTATAACTTCAGTCTTTGCCACCTAATTACAGCGGGTATTGTAAAACTGCTCTCGCCTGGAAGATATCTTTGACAGAAAACAAAACAAAAAGGTAAAGAGATATCACAACCCCATAACTGTTGCCAGCAACCGTGAAATTCAGCAGTATGTCAAAATGAGGCATTTCCATAGTTAGTGGTACTACTGTAAAGCCAAAATCTAAATAAGTATTTTATACTATGCTGTGAAAAAAATCCGCCAATCAGGATACAAAGGGGGTGTTGTATATTTGACGGTGTTACACTCTGAATTGATTGTGTTGATATAGGACAGGCTGTAAACTAATTATGCAACGCTGTGTTATTATATACTATGAAGTATCCTTCCTTTATCCTGCATTTTCTTGATATACCGAAAATTGAAAAACGTCTCGTGGGATTCTTAATGGTATGACACAAAAAAAGTTTTGCATCGTTACTATGCACTCCGCTAAACGTAAAATTCGATACAACCTTTGTCTTCACAACACTGTGCTGCGCCAGAGGGCTGGTAACTAACTTCATTAGGGTCGGGCGTATGGACACCTTCAAAGCATATCCCACAGTTCTTTTCACTCGCAGTGCCTGGCTTATAGTCACAGGCTCCTTGCAAAGTGAATAGACTCGAACACAGGCCGCACTTGAAGGTAGCTCCTTGAGAATTTTGAGAAATTTTCCAAACGTCTTTCTCAGGGTGGTAGAGAGTGCATCTTTTTCTGCCAAAGTGAGGGTCATACTCTTTGTGACAGCGAACACAGTGAACAGTGTCAGCGGTAAACTTGTTCTTGGGAAGTAAAGTTCCCAAGGCGTTGATGGTTTCCAAGTCTTTAGTTTTCAAGCTGTGTTTTAGGACACCAAGAAGTTTTGAGGGATCGATCGTTTTTAAAACACTTTTTAAGCGATGGTATTCTCTGTCCAAATCGCCTTCGGAGAGGTCATTACTATGTTCCTTTACTGGATCGCTTGAAATTGTTTTGTGATCAAAGTTATCGCCATTTTGGAGATGTTGGTTAAAATCTGCGCAACAACCACTTGTACTGCTGTCAGAGAGACTAGAGATAGAAAAGGCTTCGGCTTGTACATCCGATGATGACGAGGAATCAAAAAACGTCACTCTCTTCTTCCTCTGTTTCCCTCCAAGAAGAAGTTCCTGAGTTTTACCTTTCCCAGTGATATAACCTCCATTTTGAAACTGAGATGCGTCCGCTTTCAAGACCACAACATTCGCAACCTTCTCGATGATATATTGTTCATCGGTCTTGTAACCGTTTTTGGTTGTTCGTTGTAACTCGCTGTTCAGCGCATGGATTTGTTTTTCCGTATTATCACTGTCGCTGTTACAAAATTGAAGATTAGGTTCACATCTGGGAACATTGTGTCTCATTTCCTCGTCAGAACTGTCCCCAAACTCCTCGTCCGCTAGCTCCTCCTCGCATAGTTCACATGTGGAACATGTGCTACACGTGGAACAACTGCATTCGGATCCAAAATCATCGTCTGAATATTGCTCATCGTTTTCGCTGTAAAACGATGAGCTTTCGTCGTTGTTGACATAACTCAGTTCTTCTGCGTTGTCGGTCTCCATCTTGATTTTGCGTCGACGAGCTGGAAGTAGACTCAAAATCTCGATTTTTCCTGTAATAATAAACATTGTAGCAATTATAAATGATTCTGTAAATTAATATTTCTTTCCTGAGTGCGCGCACGTTGCTCTTGTTTCCCTCAAAGAATAAACTGAGACATCTTGCACCAGTCGCGCATTTGTATATATGGGGTTCCATGCCCACCTCAGGCCAGTCTAATATTTGCGTCAGCAGTTCTTAGAATAGTAACATTTTCAAGAGCTCTCGTTAAAGTACCCGCGCGTTTCCGACCGTTGGCATATGAACTGTTTAGTTACTTTGCCAATATTCCACAGACAACTGTTGCTGTCCTTTGTCTGCGCGCCAAAAATGGAAAATACTTGTATGGGAAAGATCAATACGAAAACCTCTTGAAAAGTCTTTTGTTTCGTTAATCACTAACTTGTACCGACAACACACCTTGACTTAAAGCGCAGTTTAAGGTTGTTCTACATTTTTATTAACGAGAGCGAAAGACTATACACTGTTATTTTAGATCGACCAACTTTTCAACGACTGGCAGAAGATAGTCCTATCATATATTACCTAAACTGCTTAATTTTCTTTGATGACGCAGCGAGATGAGTTTAATTACTTTTTCATTGATGGCTTATGGTAAGAATAGATCATTGTAGGAGGCAAAGAATACGTCAAAGAGGACTCAAAGTGAACTTCTTTGACACCCCTCTCACCTCAACAATAGTAGCAATGCACTGTAATCGGTGGAGGCTGATTTTTGTCGTCACCTCTGAATGTTAAAGTCGATTGAGTTTTCTTCCTCGACTCACCAACTCGCCTTAGACCTTAAAGGGGGTCAGCACTAGAGGTAGCAAAGAAAGGATCCTGATCCCATTTCATGCACAAATTGTAGAATTATTTACTCTTCAGGTATACTTTGAGCGGTATTTCACACGTCATGATTTCAAAAGGGAACATTTCACCTTGCCTTCCGTTTAAATTCGCCGTTACGTATTAATTTTAGGCTTAAACACACGTCACGTATTGACCCTTTGACAACTTCAGTAATGACTAATGTGGGAAATTTTGGCACCAAGAGTTAATTGGAAAAATTTACAAAACAGGGCAACAAGGCTCAAATCAGAAAAAGCGTTGAAAAAAAAAACGCATAAACAAAAATTAAAAAAATGCCTGACGATAATCTAAGAATCACACGCGAGAGGAATCAATCGCGATATGGACGACTTTTCCCTCGCGCGTGTGGGTCTACATCATTTGCACCATTTTGAATAGAGTGTGTGAAACACTAACAAGACATGACCAAGAAATATTTGAGGAGATTAAGGCCGTACTGCTTCCGGGCAAACTGCGAAAATCTTCCGCCCGAACTCTTTAAAGATTCCTTAATCTGAAAGAACAATCTACAGACTTTGAAATCATCCATTGTTTACGCGAAACCATAGTTGTAACTATTATTATTGTTATTATTACTATTATCGTTATTATTATTATAATTGTCATCATAACCATAAGTAGCAATATCATCATAAAGCCCTTGAAGGATATTCTTGAGATATTTTGAGGTACCCAATTCTAATTGAGCTAAAACGTATCAGAATAACGAGACATATAAGTACCGTTAGCTGCCTCTTTGAATAACCTGATTAATGTTAAAAAAAAAAGTCTTGTCTGAAAGTATCAATGATCACTATTTTCACTCCCTTCTTTAATTGAACAGACCAAAGAACGAGAATGATAACGGTGTTACGAAATGAGAGAAACTTGATCTGAAAGACAATCGGCCGACCCCGACCTGCAGATACTCTACCGGACATTAATTACAGACAACCTTACCATAAAACTATTGAATGAACAAAAATCGATAGAAATAAAAAAGCATAATAATTCACTTAATTTTACAGATAGATTTTTTTCATGAGATTTCACGTGGAACTTTCAAACCGATTCCATTCCCTCTATTCCAGACCCTGTTTGTTCTCTTTTTGGGCTGGTCTCTCCTTTTTGACCTGCGATCGCCATAGTTAACCACGATTTTAGGATTTTCTAATTTAAGGTAATTATATTCTACGCCTCAATAAAAGCGTGATTTAAATGAAACTTTACGCGGGCAGGTGATGCTATTAGCGTATATCTGATAATGCAGCCGGGGCAAAATTACATCATTACACCAGCCTTATCTCTCGTAATTAAACACGACAGATGTTGTCTCAGAAATCAAATATTTCACGACCTCTACGTCACGGAAAAAGAGTCAAAACTCACCCAGTAGGGTATTTTCATCCACCATCGCATCTCACCCTTGGCAAAGCGTGAAAAAGCAAATATGGATTAAAATATCAAACTTAAAAAAAATCCAGCTGTGTATACGCCTTATGCCATGTGACGTCAACACGCAGGAGGAGAGGTCACGAAATCGTGTTTGATATAATTTGATTAATCCGTGAAGTTCACTGTCATGGTCGCGACAAGAGGTTTTGCGTACGCTTTGCGGACCTATAAGCGTTTCCTAAATAAAGTCTTCCGTATTATTGATTTATCTCGTTTCTTTTTTCTTTGTGCATAATCGCATAAGACAAGAGATCGATCGAATTGTTTTTAATCCCCACGATATATCGTTTCAAAATAAACAAGCCGGAAGAAAAACAAGAATTTGGAGTTGGAAGTTATTTTTCCGTCCTCAAGTGTTTATTCGTAACAGCAACACGAAACCATAGAAACAATTTTTTACCACAATATCTTCAAGTAGTTTACATAAGAGCTTAATAACACGCCTTTCTTTTGTTTGTTTCCAATGTTTCTACTTGTCACAAGTACGTTCGTAAATTTCAAATGAAAATAATTAAAGAGCACTAACAATGTAGCAATTTGTCACAATTCAAGAGAAACTCCAAACGACGCTGTCCAAAACCACTGGCCCGTTCTACATGAAGGTCGCATCACAAATTAACTACAGCAATATTGCTGCTGGCGTTCCGCTATTTTTAACAACACTTGCAGACTTCTTTTGTCAACACAGCCGTCACCGGTGATTAATTTCATTGCATTTGGGTCCAAAAGAGCAATTAGCCATCTATTAGCATTCTTTGGCGTAGATATGACACTACAGAAATTGCCTCAGGTGTCGTAACGAGCACTCAAACAGATGACACTTTGAACCCGCCTTACTTCTAGTTCTCACAAATTGCTTGAATCTCGAATAAATGCAAGAAGCCTTCATTAAAAGGAATACAAAATGTGGGCTATAACAGTTATGTTTCATTACACAGCCACGTGAATATTGAATATTGAAGCATAACAATATGAAATGCTGTTTTAAAGACCACTGATCAATAAGAAAGAGGAACAGTTTGGCGCTTCTTTTACTGATAACTATCAATGCTTTTGTTTCCTTTTGTAAGTTCAAAATAAGCTTTAAGCAGCTCGGACGTAAATGTATGAACATTTGTGATAATGGTCAGTTCAAAGTAAGACTACATGAGACCACAACATACCATTTACGTCTACTCTTCCTGATATGCGCTTAATCGTGGATTTATATTGACTCGGGAACCAGTGGAATTCACAAACACTCACAGATACGATCAGCACTTGTCTTAAGCGCGGAGGAATCGACCGTAGAAGTGGTTTTTCCCGAAGTTTTAACGCGTTATTTAGTAGTAACATTTTCCGGATTAAGAAATGTCATCGTCTTTCTTGCTAACGAATGGAAAACATCAAGGCTAAGAGGTACTTCTTATAGAGTAAACATAGTTTTGAGCTACATGGTAGCGGGCACAATTACCTTTGTGCTGTGAGGGTTCGTGGCAGATTTTCTCGGGAAATGATCTTTCTTTACCAATCAAAGCATTAACAAATCATTCATTGATATATAAGATATTAAGAAATTATCCCTACCTGCGTTGTAAATGTAACGTACGCCTCGCGCGTTTCTCTCCCAGAGTAAAAAGCCTGGTGTAATCACATACAAGAATTCTTGATTAAGCTTATTAAAACACGACACATCGGCTACTTTATGTCATTTCTGTAGTAGAGCCAAACATGATATTGTCGCCAGACTTTCGATTTCTAACCCGAGATTCTTGAAATTCAGAAAGTTTGAGACGCTGGCATGTGTTCTCAGGAAACGTAAATGAGTTTTTAAGCACAAAAGCAGACATGACCCTCGCTCGCTGAGGTATGACCACCATCCATTTTTTACGAAACATTAAACAACAAAAGATTCTACATTGTATGTGTATTTATGGGCTGTTTTGTTTTCTAGAATAGGCCACTAGCAGAATGCCTAACACAATTAACACACAGATACAGATGTAAATTAGATTGGATTGCAACGCGGCCGCCTGATTATAATGGGAAAAACTTCTGAAAGCATGTAATTGAATGCCTTTGAGAATAATTCGTGTAACTTTTTCTTTTCTCTTTTTTTTATTTTCCCTTCACTGATTCTGTTATTGGCTTCCTTTGACAAAACTTCATCTTAATTGAGCGATTACTACATGAGTTAAAAAGCTGAAACTATTTACTATTTTCATCACAAAGGGAAATTTTAGGACCGCGCTTCAAGCCGAGAAGAGAAAATTATTTCCAAGACCGATTACACTTAAGCGCTAATCCACACTTTTCAAAAAGCTTTGATTCTTAAAGTAAACTTATTAAATTTTAAGGCGTTTTTATTCTACTGCGCAGAGCATTAAATGTTCGAGTTTTCGCGGTTTGATGCATGACCGCAACAAGTTGACAACAATACATCGGAATTTTCGCGGTTTCGTCCATTGTAAGTAAAGTCATGTAGAGTTCTAATTCACCATTCCCGCTCAGCACCTAACAATAAAGTAAACAATCTGACTGAATAAACTTCTATAGGAAACAGAATAAATAAAGGATCCCTCAACGAAAATAGGAAGTAATTGAATAATAAACTGCCCGCATACAGATTAAACCCACTCATAGAGATGTTTGATTGACAAACTCATAAACGTCGGCGTTCATTGGAATTTATTTTGTTCACGCACGGTAAACGTCAGAGGTATTGAGCAATTGAGGCGTCTGATTTTCATCGAAGTACTTCCTTTGGGTCGGAGAGAAAGGAATTTGCACCTAAATCATGTTGTTCACTCAACAAATTGCGGACATTTGAGCGTTTCAAAAGATGAAGACAAAGATAATATGATTGGTATACATATTAAGAACAGCTTGAATGACTAAATAGAATCTGTGAAACTGTGACCTTTTCGTAATGAGTGACTAATACGAGAAATCTCTTAATTTCCGTCGCGAGTAATTTGTTGAGCAAAGCAATAATGAGAGTATACAAAAATTTACCGCAGTTTTTAAACTGATAAAGTGAAATTCTCCCTATTTCGTTCCATCATCTGATACTCAAAACTTCCTCGATGCGAGAAAAAAGATATTTTTCTCTTGTTTTGGTTTCAAGATTCGTCTCTTCTGTTTCACGCCCTTCTGCGGTCCAATACGGATTTTCAGCGAATTCGCGACAAAATAACTATATCATTATCATTATTTATACTTTGAGTATCTTTCCCCAGCTTCTTCTCGGCCCACATGGGGTTTCTTAGAAATGGACCACTTCGGGTTTCCCGAGCAGGGCTTGGGCTCGAACCTAAACTCAGGGAAGAACCCCATATAATCAAAAACAGGGGAATGGCGGCACAACTTTGCGAACGGTTCTATTTCAGTGATATTATATGAACCAGACAGTGAAGTTTCCTTGCGCAAGACATAAGAAGACAGCCACAATTGTCTCATAGATCTGGGGTACGATCCATGAAGACTCAAATATTTTTGGCAAACGTCCTTATCGAGTAAAAACCTCTGATCTTTTCCTGCGCTTTTGTGTACAATTCTTTGGTTGTCCATGAAGTAAGTAACATTCTTCTTGCTCTCCATCATCCATAACGCTGCCGCCTGATCACCGTAGGGGGAGCAAAGAAGACTACTGTTTCTCTTCTCAAGAATCTCTTCGATCAAGTCGTGCGTGAGAAGAAGCCAAGCTTCGTCCACGCGGACTATTTTTGGTTTACAATGCACAAATCCCCAGTACAGTGCTTCCTTTGGACGGAAATTTAATTCATACAGAAGTCGATCCAGGCAAAGGAAATGGTCGTCATCTATGCGTAGAAAGTAATCAAACTTGTGCCGTTCTGATGCCCATTCCATTGTCTGAAGCAATCTTTCGGTGAAGGCTAAATTATCTGTCAACAAAAGTGAGCAATTACTGTATTGAAATTTTCAGAGGAGCACTCATTCGATTCAAAAGATTTCTTCGTGATCAAAAACGAAGTCTGAAGTCGAAAAGTTTCAATTTCCAAACCCATCTTCACGTAAATATAAAAATAACTAATAAATATTATGGAGAACTTTTGAAAGAGTTCGCTCTGACGAAAATTTAACGCTCAAAACGTCAGCTTCAGAAACTCTCTCTAGTCAATTTACATTATCAATGATAAAACCAAATAATCTTGTAAACCCCAACAGCACAACAGTTTCTTTAGAAACTTACCTCCTTAATTCATTTGTAAGAGATTGGCCTTGCTGACAGAGCAGCGACATACGAAAAGAGCCCGTGTGTAGAAATTTGAGCGCAGCCAGAAAATATATTTCTTATTTTGCATAGAGCACCAATTTTTCGCGCAATTCCAAAAATTCGATTTCGCGCACTTCTTAAAATTCAAATCTTCTTTAACCTTATTTCTGTAAAACAATAGCTTCGTCGTGTCAGAATTCGAATGTCAAAAAAAGTCAGTGATTATCCGGATTACTGGATACACAAAAGTGTACTGTTCAGAGTTATGATAATTTAAACATCCATTTCTTTCAACAAGGAATTTGAAGAAAATCTAGTTATAAGTACAGCCTATCGCCAGTTATATTGCTGGAAAATTAATATATAAAAAAAAAACAATTTTTATGAGCGAATCAACCCACTCACCTTCGACTTGAAGAAAAATCAGGTCGTTGTTTTCTTCATGTTCTTGTAAAATAGCATTTTTCGTTTCGTTTTCCAAGCCCGCTTGGTCAGTAAAGAACGCACAATAAACCTCGTCTGTTCTAAGTTTACACTCAGTAAACCACGTATCTCGAATGGCGTCCCGTCTTGCTTTACGGGACGCGTGCGTTAGAATAGCTACAAAGAGAAGGATGTTTTTCGGTCGTCTTCTTTGAAAAATATAAGCTGCACTCGCCTCAGGTGAATTCACATAGAGAGCTTCTTTTATTCTGGAGTTTGGTGCTTCAAACAGCGAGGGCCAATTCGTTATAGTCCCTATAAACAATCCTTCCAGTATAACCAAGAAAAACAATGTCCAAAAAAGATGACACCGTGAAGCCATACCCTTGTCGTCATTGCTTCGATTTTCCTGCCATCAGAAACATCTTGACTTGAAGTTTAACAACAGAACATTGGTCGATGAACCGAGTTGTTCGACTGATTTCCATTTTTCAACGTGTATTAAAAGAAATATTTTGAACTATAATTCAGTAACTAGGAAACGGTCATTCATCGTCTCTGAAAGTAAACAAGGCAATACAAACTAAGTTCGTGGACTGATAGTGTTTTAAAACACACAGGTAAACAAACAAGCACACCGGATAAACAATTTTGAGTCTCAAAATAAATCCGGTTCTCTCGGGGTGGCTTAGGAAAAGTGCTAATTTCTTACTTTCAATTTTTTGGAGTTTTTTCTACTGCAAATCAAGTTACTGGGACATTTTTTGCCACTGGTTGTCGCCAGATACCTCTCACTTGTGTCTGAACCTCGTGAGATCGAGCAACGACTGCGCATGCCACAGAGAGGAGACCCGAGCATATATCTCGAAATATTAGGATGGGGGAGGGAATGGGGGCTGGCGAAGAATGGAAAAGAGAAAGAAAGAAATTATGAAAGTTTGAAAACTTCTTTCGAACAAGAGAGAGCCCAGAGAGATAATTATACACCACATGGTCCTCTTAGCTCTTTCCCTAAGAAAAAGATGTGTTTGATATTCCGACAAGTAGAGATTTCACGCAATCAATTAAACAACAATAATAAATATCGAACATTTTAATGATCCCTTTTTCTTTAAATGAAGTTTACTAGAAACAGAGCCTTTTTTTTCAAAGGCACAACATTTGGATACACGGTTATTCTAATCAAATGCTACAACTGAAAATAAGTTAAATATAACATTATTTACCCTTTCCAACCATTGAAGGCAAATCAGACACAAGCCGCTACTCGGTTTAAAACACTACCGATGGGGGAAGGGAAAGACTGATAAACGCGATCAATTCTTTCCTTATCCACGCCAGGGTATGCAGACCGCAGGATCAATACATTTTTTGTCAGGGGTGGGGGGAGGAGAGTGGTTTGCACGCTTGCAGTAATTTAAAACCGAGTACAGTGACACGCTGTTACTTTCAATGGTTGTAAATGGAAACAGGAACCACATTACACATATTGACATTGTCTGAGGATATCATATGCTTTAGAAAAAGAGACAAGATTGTAGACACCGACAGAACACGTTCTTTACCAAGGGTTATTATGTCACTTTTTTAAAATCTATCTTAACAATATATTTGCTCATTAACTTTTTAGAAATATTATTAAATTTACTATTAGATAAGAAAAAAAATATATTTACAAAAGTATTTAATAACCTTGTTTACTTACTTACATTGCTGACTTAGGTTTCATACATCTGTGGATTTACCTACATTTAAGTACAGTTACTCACATTAATAAGCAAGATCCAAAAACACGTTAGCTTGAATGCTTTTTTAATCCATTCAGGTCATGTGACAAAACTCAAGAATACTGTTTCCACAAAGTTTCCTCTTATTTACGCGCATATGAACACATAGTTTACAAAAGGTAAAGCTGGGAATTCCCATGAGACCTGAAATGGGTAAACAAAACATACAAGCTAACGAGGTCTCTTTGGTAATGTATAGCCAGGCATTCAAAGGGCTTCGCTGCAAATACCCTGTCCTTAAAAAAACTGCTTAAACAGAATTTACACTAAAACTCTCAACGTCCACCTCCTCGTAACCTTTATAAATTATATTTTTTACAAATTTAAACAAATGAAAAAGTGAACGTACATGTATAAAACTGAAATATCAGGGAATATTCCTCACTTTCATCTGTGTTGTGATTTTTTGACCAATCAAGTGCAACAGGAAATATCGCATGAACCG